GGGCAGAGATGATTCGCCTCGACGCAGGATCGTTTTCATGCCTGTCCCGCCACGAAACGGGAGCCTCCCGTCCATCGCGCGAGAATGGGGATCCTTGTTCGCGCAGGTCGTCCGGCATCTCCGGCCCGGGACGCATCGCCTGTCCCCCTGCAGACGCAGCGCCACACGTCAGACCATCCCACCACGCGTCCGCTTGGCTCGGCTCGTCTACCGGTGGATCCGGCATGTAAAGACATCCGGGTCTCCAAGCCTCGGGTGTCAGCAACGGAGGCGTCTTTCCGAGCGGGAAGAAGCCGAGACCAGACGGTCGGCCTGACGGTCGTGGACTGGATACCGGTGACCAGCATCGGTCCCCACGCCTTTGCGGCACGACATATACCCCCTGCGGTCCATCCCCACTTGTCATGTCGTCAGTATTCTGTCAGAGTAAGACGGGAATCCCGCCTAGACGTAACGTACCTGTCCGCGCGATGAGAGAGCGAGGCATTCACACTCAACGATGGTGACGAGTACCGACGAAGCTTGGTGCTGTTGTCGTCGACCTGCGCTGCAACATGAATGATCTGTGAGCTCCGTGTACGCCAGTTATCGGTCCCATCCTCTCGTCCCTCCCGGGGCCAGGAAGAACCGTCGGTCAAACCATATCGACACGGCTCATGACGGGTGTCTCGCTTGCCAGACAACCTGGCATTGACTTGCTCCGTCCAGTAGGAATCATCGCCAGTCCCCTCGTCGTCATCATCAGATATGTCGCGTTTTAGCCACAGATATCCAGTACTACGGGCTCGCCTGAGCGTGCGTGCGTAACCAGTGTCCGACAAGGCACCGTCTTGCCGTCGACCAAGGTCACGATACACGTCTGCGCGCCGTGTACCTATACCAAACAACCCTTCATCGGACCCGTCCTCGTTCGGGCTTGCGTCACCGTCGGAAGACACGTCCTCTTGGTACGATCCGCGATCCGCATTGCTAGACGCCACCAATAATACATTCTGATCTCCAGATACAACGTCCAGCGTTGCCATCCGAGCGGAGCCTGGCTGCTTGACAACCACGTCACTAATCGCCAACGGCGCACGTCGGTCGTGCACCACCATAGTCGAGTCGCGGACGTGTTTGATGAGACTCGACTCGGAGTCCAGAGGTGCACCTAGTAGTTTAGTCTCGTCAAGCATCACGGACGTCGAAGCACCAGCATCGAGGCCAGATTCGTTCACTCCCGGTGAACGACCGTCTTTAGGTTGTCTTCCGATAGTCACTACGCCGTTCGAGCCACGATCCAAAGGGTCCAATGCAGCCAACATCTCAGTCAAGCCAAAAAAGTGGACCCACGCCATGATGCCCATTAGAGCACACGACTGAAAGAGCGTCCCTGACATCGCCTCCAAGACAGATTCCTCGAGCCTGTCGAGCATGCTTTGTTCCCGACGTTCAACAAGCCAGGCCCCAGGCATGGACGCTCGATGTCCGACTTGGTCGTGTGTTTCGGCCACCTCGTGGACTGCAAGACGGTCCCAAAGCAAGCGTCGGATCCCCCGTTCACTGGTCGTCGCGTCCACAGCCACCCCTGAAAGTCGGCACACAGCTCGGGTAGAGTGTAACCATCGGATCCGCCGACGCAAAACAACAATCGCCAGGATGAACAGCCAGGAAAGAAGACAACCAAGCATGACAGCGCCACCGTCATCATAGCCTCCCAGCAAATGTCCTAAACCTAAATAATAACCCGCGCATGAGCATGCCAGGCACGACCACATATAACACCACCCCGCACCTGGGATATCAACGACGACTGCAGATTCGTTATGGAGACCTCGTGTGGTGTCATTATGACTGTAGATAGGTTGTGGGACGGACGGAAGCACCGTTTGATCCATTGGCATGTTGGTGACAAATGCGGGCCACGACGTCGCTTCGTATCTCCTCCTGGGCGGGCACCGTACGGGGTGAGGAACGGGTTCCTGTTCGTGCAGATGGCCAGCATCGTGCCCGAGACCCACGTCGGCGAGCCGTTTCCCAAGGACTGCCCACATCCATGCTGGGCCTTTTGAACCACTGGCAAAGGCGAGGTCGCTGTGGGCGTCGACAAGGCCAAGTAGGAAGCAACGAAAGAGTCGGGCGTGGAAATGGAACGTGTCCTCCCATGGAACGAACCGGAATGCCGACCAGAGACGTTCGGGAAACATGATCACGGTGAAAGAAATGAGGATCGGGACTTGAATCGTTGTTGAACTTTGTAAATCAACTCTTGATCAACTCCAACGCGAGGTAGACAGGTCTAGGGAACACTCTTGCTGCCCATTTGCTCTACTCAGCCTCTACTTGTTTACCATTCAGTATTTCCTGTCGAATGCCGAGGCCATCTACATAACTCCCGCGACACTTGATCGAACTGTCACTGACATCTCCATCACCCCTGATATTCACGCGCCGCTTTATGGACATTGGACAGAGTTGTGACCTTGACCGAATGTGACAGATGGACCGCATCTTGTCAAACACCGTGCCAAGGACAGCGGCCCACAAGCGGAAGCGCCGAGTACCACCCTAATCCTAACCTCTGGCGTTCTAGGTTGCTGTATTAATGGTGGGCAGGTTGACGCTAAAACTCCTCATAACTACTCCCCAGGACAGCGGCCCACAAGCGGGAGCGCCGGGTACGTACTATTCCACTAAATACCTCTGGCGTTCGACAGGTTTTTTGCACCCTGCCTGGCAATGCCTGCTGAAGCCATGGACAGCCATGCTTGCCGATGCGTTTCACGCCAGCCGTTACTTTAAGCGTCGGATCCTTCGCTCATGCCATCTCTTCCCGGGGTGGTTGCGGGGGTCTTGGCGTCATGGGTTGCTGTATTAAAAGTGGGCAGGTTGACGCTGAAACTCCTCATAACTACTCCCCACTCTCCTTTGTGACATATTCGCTCCTTTAGAATGCGCTTCACTCTCGCAACCTCCATCGTTGCACTGGCTGTTTCGGCCGTCGCATCACCTCAGCCCGTTCAAGTTGGGCGGAGAATCAGCCAGGCCATCCCAATCAACAAACGTGAATCTAGTTTGGTGAACGCTGACAAGACCGTTGATCTTGGCGCAATCCACTCTCACGTTACATCAACCAAGGCGTACGTCCTATTGACCATTGCATCGCTCCTACTCAGGCATCTTTTCAGTAAGTTTCGTCGCGGCCTTCACAATTTTAAGCAAAACACAAGGTCGAAATACCGTTCGAATGAGACTCAAAAACGGGGGAATGGCGTTCCCTTAAGCTTGAATGCAAACGAGGATCTCTTATGGTATGGCAACATCTCAGTCGGTACCCCCGCCAAGTCCTTCACTGGTAAGTGTTCTTCTCATCCTTGATAAATGTCCACCCTAATCTCCCTTACAGTCGCATTCGACACTGGTTCTAGGTAGGCATTTGCCCAAGCATACACTCAATTGTTGTTCAATTCGATGACAGCGACCTCATCTTGCCAAAGAAGGGCTGTGGTTCGAGTTGCGACGGCCACACTCTCTATGACCCCACTAGTTCTTTAACTGCACAAGACGTGGGCAAGTCATTTAACGAGAGATATGGAAGTGGTTCCGAGGCCTCCTATTCCTCAGGTAATATATACACCGATACCGTGTCCATTGCTGGCTTCACCGTGAGTTCTGTATATCTTATCAGCGTGATCATTTCTGACAGCCAAGTAGGCGACCTGTCAGACTCTTGGCGCTGCAACAAAATATTCTTCCGGGTTTGAAGCCTCCAGCTTCCCTGCAGACGGTTTGATGGGAATGGCTTTCGAATCTTTTTCGAAATTTAATGCTAGCCCCGTCGTCCAGACTCTCGCATCTGAAGGAGAGGTCGATCAAGTGTTTTCATTCATGCTCTCGCCTTCTGGGGGCGAGTTATATATCGGTGGATCGAACCCCGCATTGTACACCGGCGACTTCAGCTATACCCATGTAACGAAGCCAGTGAGCTGAACCGTCTGGTGCACTGGACGCGCACTAATACTCGTTGTTCAGGCATACTGGCAGGTGACCATGGACAACGTGATTGTTAATAATCAGACGATTCTGAGAAACGTAGATTCCATCATCGACACTGGTACCGCCCTCGTCCTTGGTTATCCCCCGGATGTTTCGAAACTGGCCAATGCCACTGGTGGAACCCCTTGGCCGAACAACGATGCCATGGATATGTATACCTGTAAGTTCGAACCCAGTCGCGTATCTTCTCCGTTGACGCTCTGTAGACCCATGCGCATCTTTCCCGAACATGAGCTTTACCTTTGGCGGAACGCCGTTCCTGTTCTCTTCGCTCAACGGTGGCCCAGTTTCGAATGGCTCGTCTGAATGCCTGAGTAGCCTCGTCGGCGTGGACACGAGTTCTGCGTCGGGTAGCCGTGAGTTTTACTATCCTGATTTCCTTCGCAACGCTCCATTCTGACCACCGAATCCTCGCCCTATGACCAGACGCTTGGATCGTCGGGGCTTATTTCCTCACGGGTGTCTATACCACGTTCGATCTCGGTAAAGCGCGGGTCGGATTTGCACAGCTTGCCGCTTGAGTGTCAAAAGGCGTAGCGTGATTTGATCACTTCGCGTTTTGTTGTCTGTAATAACTTATTGTTACCTATCACCCACAATGCGGCATTTGCGATCAATTCGATCAGAAGTCCGGCCTGGTGGCCTCGCCCAGGACTGCCTCATCGGGATCGACGGCAGCGTCATAGCTGCGGCTGGTCACCAGACTAGTTCGGAGTCTCTATATAAAATATCTGCTTGACGTTTAACATTCAAGATGATTCAACTCTGAAGGATAAAGGTTATCCGGGATCCGGCGACTGGCGCACGAGCGCCGCTACGATCCATAATCCATGCCCAGCTCTTTCTCATAATTCACATGACCTTGTAGTTCATAGCATTTCGAGTGTCAGGGATGCTTTGCAAGATCCCTCGAGTAGGGTCAGATGACGCTGATAATAGTCTTCTGATATCATTCAGCATCCAACGGTCGTATAGTGTAGTGGTTATCACTCGGGATTTTGAAGATAAGATAAGATTTCCCGAAACCCAGGTTCGAACCCTGGTACGACCTGATCTTTTTGGGTACATTTCGTTCCATAACAGCTCGGCGCGTTCCTCCTTTCAGTATGGACTGACCACATTGATGAGTCTCAGGTTTCTGTCCTGCGCAACTTCCAGCTCGCGTTCAAGTTCCTACCTTGAAGCGATGCATTGAAGGTACATGGCACCACTCGCGATGTGGGTTATCTCAACGCATGCTCATCACTCAAGCTTCAAGCTTGACCCCTCCCAAGTTCATACGCCTCAGCGGATCTCTTAACTAGTCCTGGGGTCTCTACACCACCTGCGTTTCTGCTTCCCCAGACTTTGTTTCGTCCGACGTATGGCATGTGCTCACCCTTGCATCCTCGTCACCCTCCAGCTCAACCTTCCACACTGTCAAAGCTTAACCTCTCTTCATGACAACTTATACTTTCTTTCCTGGCTCACCCGCGCACTCCCAGGTTTCTAAGCAGTTCCATGCTATCATCAACGATCCAACATTTTGGAGGACTATCCATGCTGATGCCCACTTGCCTCGACCCCCTGGACCATTTTCCTGGCAGTCCACCAAGTTCCTTCAACGTACTCTTGGCCAATCTGCACGATTAGCACAGTATTGGACCCCACAATCTATAAATGCCATCTCCAGGGATTCGCTGCAAGTGCCATTCGGACCCAATACCAGCGAAAGGGTCTGTGGGCGATGGATGATCATCTGCACAGGAATGAGACATCTCGTGTCGTACGACCTCGATACTGGTTCTGAACAGACATTATGCCACTGGGATGACAAGTGGGTATCGTGGTCAGCCACATCTTGTCTGATGTCGACCCGAGGAAACCTGTGCTGAGAATAGCCATTCGGGAGATAGAGTGCACGTACTAGAATTTTCAAAGCATATCTTTTAACTTACAATTTCACCCCTAGGAAGCTACTTGAGTTCCAGGCCGATGATGATTCAGGGCATTTATCCCGCCCCATCACTTCTGACATTCCTGTCAGTTGTCCATGTCAAGAGTGGTGATACGCCGTTCGTACTCATTTCTGTCGTCCCGTTCCAAGCAGAGGGGACATGTACTCTGATATTCGACACCCGAAGTCAGATTTTCTACAATTTTCCAGAGTTCGAAGCTGAACCGGTACGCTCGGGTTACACCCTACAGTAGAAAATACTTGACACCCGAAACAGGGTACAGGACGTTCCACTCTTGGTGTCCTGGGCGAAGAGATTGTGCTTACTATGACCCACATCATCCTGTCTCGTGTCGGCTTTTCCATTTTCGACCCTTTCGAAATCGTACAGGCATATGCCATTCCAGATGACAACGAGACACATGAGCTTCGCCTCTCACACGAGACAACACCTCATGTCTTCAGAACCACACCGTGGTTCCACCCTGTGTGTTTCCCCCTCCGCAATTCAGCCATCGATCCTGTCACAGGATCGACGCGCCTGAGGCTTCTACATGTTTCGCGATCCTCTCACAATCAACAGTTTGTATGCACCGACATCACCTTGCAGCAAACTCCTCCAAGGACGTTCTACCCATGTCAATCAGCACGCATGTCGTGTTTGCCATAACTGACCCGGACATCATGTTCATAAAACTTTTGTCATCTACCGACGGTTTCGCTCGAGGGCTGTGCATCGTGCCCGTTGCTTCCGCGAAGATCCATATCCGAAGATGTACCATCGACGCAACGGGCGAGACGTGCGCGGGAGCCGTTAGTGATATATTGCCCCTTCCACTCGTCGTTGACTCGGATTGGTCGATAGAGGCGTTCGACGGGGCAAGAGGGAGAATATGCTTGACGGTAGATATGGACTACAAGGCCGTGGTACTGGATATAGAGTAAGGTCGTCATCAACGAAACGTCGCGGCTGTTGTGGAGGAAGTAAAGATGGCTGTCTTGATCTTGTCGCTGATTGTTGTCTATGTTACTACATATAGTACTACATTCACACACTGAACCCCGTCAAGCCGTGTCTGTCCGACCAGACGCAACTTGAACAGCCAGATATATGGCCCAATCACGATCCTGAGAGCGGGTAGAGCCGTACATGCGGGTTTACCTGGTATCGAAGGAGATCATGAATCACTCCCACGACGGATATCACCTGTATACATAGTGGTCAACTGATCGAACACATCATGTTTCAAATGGCTCACGATACCTCACGAATTTTCGGTTGGATCGATCTTGCGGCTTTCTTTAGGGTCCCCAATGGATGTGGAACGAAAGACTGACGTCGAGGGGTCAACTCGGGGAACATGCCTGCAGCGGATCAATGCCAGGCTTTTTTCCGATACAAAAGGGATCAAGTGGATCAAGTAACATCGAGTTCCAATCAACATCCAACCAGTCCAGTCAATGGAGTGTTCCGCACGTCCAAAGGAAAGCATGAAGGGATGAGGTCAAGAGGGGCATGAAGCCCTTGTGCAGTCGCAAGATCAACCTGAAAATGCTCGATGATTGTACGTCGATGATGGACGGATATAGTCCACCTCATCAGACACGGTTGACGACTTCAAAAGCTCGGAGTCACTCTCACTTGGATGGAGAATGGGTACTTGCGCACTTTGCCCGACGTTGTGTGGCGTCTCGTCGTCAACGGCGTTAAGGCGAGAGAGAAAAGTGGCAAGTTCGCCCCATCGTCAAACACCTCGTCAATGGGCGTCTCGACCGCCGGCCCAGGATACGAGCATTATCAGAGCCTCTAGCGTGTTCGATACATCATATGCGCTTGGGGTCAACAAAGTACTGTCAGTGTTGAATTGGGCGTGAAGATGGGCAGGAGTCTAAGGTTTCTATCCAAGTCCGAGATCCATTGTCCTGTTCTAGATCCATCTGTACCCCTGGATTCGGCCGCGTTACCAACGTTCATCCCCACACTCGGGGATCATGAGCGCGGCGCGCGCGTTTCCATTCCAGTATGCCGCCCTTTACCTTCCGGGGAGTCATATCCCGATTTCCAAGGTCGTCCTGGTTTTTCAAAATCGTTGGGAGAAGGAGCTTGCCATAATATTGTAACCAGGGTCATTCCTCGTAAGCATATGCTGGCACTCGAGTCGCCCATTCGAGTACATCACTCCACACTTACGGTACATTGGCTTCGGAATGAAGATGGGCAGAGGCAGTTTCCGTACGTCAACCCTCCTTGAGACGGATTTTCCATGCCCGTTCGAGGCCGTTGTCATGTCATGTCCTATATCTTCGGAGAGTGTACCCAAGAAGAGCTTCAACGCTCTTATAGTACATATATGATGATGATAGTGTTTCATTTGCGCGCTGATGTGGATGAGAACCACCTCAAGTCCTCGGACACGTCGTGTCGCGTGCCCCGTCGGCCAGAGGACGTATTCACAGGTTCTGCCGCAAAAGCTCGGCGCGTGATCGTCCGAGTTGTCAATGATTCCTTGTAGGCTGGTGAATCACCCGAGCTGGCGGTGGGTCGGTGCAAAAGGGAGGTGTCTATCCTTGACGACGGACCGCCCAGTTGAGGTCATGACACGTCGACGGCGAAAGGCGGACTGGGGTTAAATTAAAGGGAAAAAAGGGTGTACGAACTGGACGTAGGAGGGTTGTTTTCTCGGCAAGCAGCGTCGTGATTACCACCACGGTGAAACTTGTCTGGAGGATTTCTGGTGATTCGACCATGTACGTACAGAACCCCCGCTTCCTCTCTTTCCACTCCTCCTCTTTACTGGTCTCTCCACCAGCTCAGCCTTGACGACGCAATCTGTCCGTTTCGATACAAGACTGCAACAGGGTCTTCGCAACACGCCGAGACAAGGGAGGAACAACGACTAAAGCCGGGACCAGTTTGGAAGTATTTCATTACCACGCACAGCGTATAATCAATCCACCAACGTTCGAGGATCTCTGCCTTGCCTCGTGAACGCTGCTCTACTTCAGTTCCGTTTATCATCAAGGTGCAGCAAAGTTTCCACCCGTCAATTACACTACGGCATTGTCATCAAACTCAAACAGAGGTACATCATCAGTGAGCTAAATTCAGAATGCTGGTCTCACCGCCTAGCACCCACTCTCTCTCAGTCACTTCACGCTAAACCGAGTCAGGCAAAGCCTACTATACGCGAGGAGCTTCTATTCTGACCTTGCCGCGGTAACTTCCGGATACTTACAATCAGAGCCGAATACCTCGAGGTGCGAGGTCCCAACGTGCCCCGTCTTTGCGATGCTTTTTTGACTCTTCGGTAATAGGTGCCTCGCTATTCGTGATCGGAGAGGGCGGGCACGTCAAACAAGCCAACATTCAACTCCTCGAGTTTTTTTTTTGGAACAAGGTTGCTGGGCGTCGCACTCGGCCGGAACCAACCTCGTTGATACGTTTTCGACTGATCAGTGATCACATCTGATAAGTGCAATTCGGCCGATAGGACAGAGAAATGTCGCAAGTGCGACCAGAGGACAACCGAACAGGACAGCAGACAGCGGAAACGAGCCCAGGCCTCGATGTTCGCGGAGATTTAGGTTTGGGGTCTGCCTTGAGGATCGTGGGCAGCCAAGGGGTGGATGAAGCGTGTCGTGAAAACCGCGAGGCCGTGGTTCCGGGTGACGCGAACGAGGGTTCGGCGGGCAAGGAGGGCGGAGCCAGTCAGAATCCTGTGGCTGGCGAATCGGCAACGCGGGAATGGAACGCCAACGCAGAAAAACGGCCGGGTGGAGGAGGTGCGGAGACGGCAGGACTCCGTGAAGATCAACACGAGGCCCGGTCGAGTCGCCGCGTGGGCATTGTGTGTGCGCCTCGAAATTACAAACGCCCTCAGTCACTGCAGAATCTCAAGTCGAACGGCGGAGAAGGAGGAGGTTATAGCGCTACTATCAGCAACGGCGGTACGACTCACACCGGGCCCAACGGGACGATTATTACTACTACTCGCATTACCCCGCCAGCCATCCCTCCCCGCTCACCACTCCGTCCTTGTCCTCCTTACCAACCAGTACCTCCAGCCCTCGTCGGAACAACACCTCAAGCGACTCCTTTTGACACTGCAATCGAC